AAGTAAGATGACGAAAATGGACTAGAGTAATCCGGAGAAGGAATGCATATATTTTATTCTAACCGGCAGTATCGAAAATGTTGTTGGTGAACCCAGAATATGATCAGTATTTTGAGTGTCTTAGACGTCTGATTTAGTGATTGTAACTAACACAACTTGGCAGAAACGAATGTGTGGATAGGCGATGCACAGAAAGATGACATCTTCATTGCCCATTATCAGGGCTAAGAATAAGGTGCAGTTGAAACGTAGTCCAATCCCTGATATGATCATCTTCATCTTAAAGTTATATGTATGTGAAAAATATAGATAAAAGGAAGCATAACGTTATATTTTAAAATTACAGCACAAACGATGGAAACAGCACCATCCACTCTTTCTTGGCAGAGACGTGTAACTTTATTATTACTCTGTTTTGATAACTGACATTGACATCTCGGGCTTAAAGCATAAAATCTATTATGACTAAGGCACAACTATTAATTCCTTAACATGTTGAATTCGTGCTTGCTGGACGTATATATAGTGTATGATTTTACGTGACTACGCTACCTCAAATGCATTACACTTATACTCAAAGGAAATGGCAATGTTTACCGTAGCCGCAGTCTTGGAACGGTGATTCTTAACCATGATGCCTGGTCGTAATACGGAATTTATATTAGGCATTGTTTGGTTAATACGAATTTCGATGTGAGCTCGATAGACAATCCTGAGTGTTTTCTCAGTATTATACTGTTACAAGATTACTGTTTACACCAGCACGTAGACATGCCTGCTCCAAGAAAATTACTGATTTGATATTCACATTTACTTGTTGATACTTTATGAAATGACAGACTTCTGATATTCCAGAATCAAAACAATTTAGTTAAATTGGAAGAGTCTTTAGCATCTTCATTTATTTTATTAACATTTTTCGTTGATCTGTAACATGATTCATTCGCTTCTTGCTCTTCGGCGGCGTATATCGAGTCACACGGTAAAGTACACGTTTGAGTCACGTTGAAAGAGTAGTGGAGTAAGCAACGTGCTTTTCTAGCAAAATCCTTTGGAATTTCCCTGCGGGAACAGTTGTAAGCTAGGTTAAATTTTAACAGATCCAGAAGTAGAAAAAACGCTCACTCCTTTACTACTGATGGTGCAGAGGTGTTCAATCAAATTTGTTCAGCTGTCTTGAAATGTCTTCATTTAAGGCATTTCGCTAGCAATAAAATTATGTAGAAATTAATTAATTTTTTTAAACGCGAAACATTAATTCATTGAGTGACGAAAACCGCAAAGTTCCTGGCAATACCAAGGCATAAGATTAAGACTTCTCTTCGTTTATTTTAATTTCAATTATTTTTCGCTAGGGTTGCCAGTCGATAGACTCATATCCAAGAGGTCCTAAGCTCAAGACCCCATCGGGTCACTTGCCTTTCTTCTTTTCAGTGTGGAAATGGCTACTATTGTTGAAAAGATACACGAGATTATACAGTGTGCTTGCTACTTGGCTGCGGTCGACTCTGCCATTAAACTAAAGGCATGGAAATTGAGTTCACGGCCCCGCCATTAACTTCGTGAAGAGAAACGTGCCAGGAGCT